TATAATCCCTTGAATTTATTTGTCACTTCCACTGTATAATCGTAGGGGATTTGATGTAGGTCATACCTGAATGGCCTAGTGGTTTTTCCCTACTTTCTTCGATTCCAAGTCTGAATTTTGCAATAAGTCATAAGACTCAGTCATAAGACTGAGCCACAGTCAGCTCCCGGTCTTGTTTTTGCTGACTGTGTAGAGCTTCTCCATCTTTGTCTCCAAAGAATATAATCAGTCTTTTTTCAGTGTTAACCATCTGGTGATGTCCGTGAGTTGCCTCATGTCGTTGGAAGAGGACGTTTGCTATGACCAGTGTGCTTTCTTAGCAAAACTCTGTTAACCTTTGCCTGTTCATTTTGCACTCTATGCCCAAACTTGCCTGTTACTCTTGCCAGGTATCTCTTGACTTCCTACTTTTGCATTCCAGTCCCCTATGATGAAAAGGACATCTTTTTTTTTTTATGTTAGTTCTGGAAGGTCTTGTAGGTCTTCATAGAACAATTCAGTTTCAGCTTCTTTGGTGTTAGTGGTTGGGGCATAAACTTGATTACTGTGATGGTGAATGTTCTGCCTTGGAAATGAACCAAGATCATTCTGTAATTTTTGAGATTGCACCCAAGTACTGCATTTTGGACTCTCGTTGACTGTGAGGGCTATTCCATTTGTTCTAAGGGATTCTTGCCCACAGTAGTAGATATAATGATTGTCTGAATTAAATTCACCCTTTCCCATCCAGTTGAGTTCAGCACTTCTAAAATGTTGATTTTCAGTCTTGCTATCTCATGTTTGACCGTTTCTGATGAACCTTGACTCGTGGACCTAGCATTCCATGTTCCTATGCAGTATTGTTTTTTTTTACAGCATCAGACTTTACTTTCACCATCAGACACATCCACAGCTGGGTGTCGTTTCGGCTTTGGCTCAGCCTTAGTGACTATTTCAGTTTGTCTTCCTTTGTGCTGTTCTTGTTAATGTCTGTCTCCCTCCAACTGTCCTCCCCCTCCTTTTGCTCTTTGTTAAGTTCTAAGGGCTGAGCGCAGAGTCAGATTCTCAATAAATACAGGTGTTTGTTGAAAGAGCAATGAACAAATTAAAATATTCTTTTTTTAATTGAAGGATAATTGCTTTACAGAATTTTGTTGTTTTCTGTCAAAACTCAACATGAATCAGCCATAGGTATACATATCCCCTCCCTTTTGAACCTCCCTCCCATCTCCCTCCCCATCCCACCCCTCTCAGTTGACACAGAGCTCCTGTTTGAGCTTGCTGAGCCATACAGCAAATTCCCATCCGCTGTCTGTTTTACACATGCAGTGTAAGTTTCCATGTTACTCTTTCCATACATCTCACCCTCTCCTCCCATCTCCCCATGTCCACAAGTCTATTCTCCATGTCTGTCTCCACTGCTGCCCCGCAAATAAATTCCTCAGTACCATTTTTCTAGATTCCATATATATGCGTTAGGATACGATATTTATCTTTATCTTTCTGACTCACTTCACTCTGTATAATAGGTCCTAGGTTCATTCACCCCATCAGAACTGACTCAGATGCATTCCTTTTAATGCATGAATAATATTCCATTGTGCATATGTACCATAACTTCTCTATCCATTCATCTGTTGATGGACATGTAGGTTGCTTCCATGTTCTAGCTATTGTAAATAATGCTGCACTGAACAGTGGGATACATGTGTCTTTTTCAGTTTTGATTTCCTCAGGGCATATGACTAGGAGTGGGATTGCTGGGTCGTATGTTGGTTTTTTTTTTTTTTCCATTTATCTTTATTAGTTGGAGGCTAATTACTTTGCAGTATTGTAGTGGTTTTTGCCATACATTGACATGAATCAGCCATGGATTTACATGTGTTCCCCATCCTGAACCTGCCTCCCACCGCCCTCCCCATCCCATCCCTCTAGGTCATCCCAGTGTACCAGCCCCGAGCGCTTGTCTCATGCCTCCAACCTGGACTGGCGATCTGTTTCACACTTGATAATATACATGTTTCAATGCTGTTCTCTCAGATCATCCCACCCTCGCTTTCCCACAGAGTCCAAAAGTCTGTTCTGTACATCTGTGTCTCTTTTTCTGTCTTGGATATAGGGTTATCGTTACCATCTTTTTAAATTCCATATATATGCGTTAGTATACTGTATTGGTGTTTATCTTTCTGGCTTACTTCACTCTGTATAATGGGCTCCAGTTTTATGCATCTCATTAGAACTGATTCAAATGTATTCTTTCTAATGGCTGAGTAATATTCCATTGTGTATATGTACCACAGCTTTCTTATCCATTTGTCTGCTGATGGGCATCTAGGTTGCTTCCATGTCCTGTCTATTATAAACAGTGCTGCGATGAACATTGGGGTACATGTGTCCCTTTCAGATCTGGTTTCCTCGGTGTGTATGCCCAGGAGTGGGATTGCTATATGTTGGTTTTATTCCTAGGTTTTTAAGGAGTCTGTGTACCGTCTTCCATAGTGGCTGTATCAATTTACGTTACCACCAACAGTGCAAGAGTGTTCCCTTTTCTCCACACTCTCTCCAGCATTTATTGTTTGTAGACTTGTTGATGATGGCCATTCTGACTGGTGTGAGATGATATCTCATTGTAGTTTTGATTTGCGTTTCTCTAATAATGAGTGATGTTGAGTGTGTTTTCATGTGTTTGTTAGTCATCTGTATGTCGTCTTTGGAGAAATGTCTGTTTAGTTCTTTTTCCCACTTTTTGATTGGGCTGTTTGTTTTCCTGGTATTGAGTTGTATGAGCTGCTTTTATGTTTTGGGAATTAATCCTTTGTCAGTTGTTTCATTTGCTATTCTCTCATATTCTGAGGGTTGTCTTTTCACCTTGCTTATAGTTTCCTTTGCTGTGCAAAAACTTTTTAAGTTTAATCAGGTTCGACTTGTTTACTTTTTTTATTTCCATTGCTCTAGGACGTGGGTCATAGAGGATCTTGGTTTGATAAAATATTCCTATGATCTATATAACTAAAACCCATCAAAGTTGGTCAATGTCAGTAACATTTGCTTAAAAAGATAATAGGATTAAAACTTAATGATCTCATAGTTTTAAGTTGACATGGAGCCTCGGGAGAATAAATACAGTTAGCATCACTGCCTTTCACCAAGAATTTTCTGTGCTGTGTCCCCCCTATGTTGTGGAAACCAGTTCTTACAGTGAATGGCCATCCAGCTCTGCCACCATCCCTAGCATTGGGCACTCTTCAAGTTCTTCTGAGTCCTGATGTTGGTCTTCTGTAAAGACACCCTTTGGTTTTGGGTTGCCCTCTTCCTTTCTTATATTTACAGAGTTATCTTATCGTTTGTTAAATGAAATAGTCTCACTTCCTTCTTTTGACCTCTTTTGGGCCCATATAATGCTCTTGAGGAATTTTATATAGTGTATTCCAACATAGACGCTATTTATGTATCAGCTACCAAAGGATAACTTTTTAAAAAGTGTTTTTATGAGTAGTGATATATTTAATAGAAGAACTGTTGCAAATCTAGCTTTATTAACCTTAATGATTTGCTTCTTTACTGAGCTCATTATATTATTGAGAATGTACATATAAATATTAGTTTTGGGGAAAACAGCTATTTCGGTGCTTATTACTAGTTGGGTGAATGCTCCATAAATGGATGTAATCTTCAGACAACTTTAGGCACTATTTATCCTCACATGTGAAGAAGCTGATATATATGAACCTTAGAAATAAAAGATTTTCTTAATCTCATTGTCACTGCAGGCAATGGAAACATATTTGATCCTTCTTAATTATTTCACAAGATAAAATAACCATGTTGAGAAAGGTAGTTTTCAATTTCTTAAGAATTTTTGGTCACTAATATCTTATCATTAAAGGAAAAATTATTATGCTTTTTTCTTTAAAATACTTAAATATGTATCGCCTTTGTAATAGGTGGGATTAGAAAGCATGCATATGATTGTTCCAAAGCTTGGTTATTTGCTATTGCTATTTACCAGTTTTTGGAGTAAGTACAACCTTTTTTTTTTTAGTGAATAGAGGCCTCTATAGTGATCCTTTATGATAATAGAAACTTAAATTATTATTCTTTCACCTTATATGTTGTCTTAAAATTGTCTTTAGGGGAATATCTTATGCTAAGTTTGTTGATTATCAAGATTGAGAACATTTCACCTGATAGCTTAAAGATTCGTGTCTCGGCATTGAGATGATCACTTCATTTTCAGTGTTGTTAAATCAGTGGACGTGGGGCAGCAGCTCAATTGTTTTCTTCTCTAAAGTCTCAGTGTGTAACGTTTGTCTCTCTTTCACATGCCTTGTCAAAACTGTCTACAAAGAAGTCTGGGTTGGGGATTTATTTCTAGAACTGTGTTAAAACACTTCTGTAGACATTTGTTTATGAAGCTACATCAGGTAGGTGTCATGGTTCCCATCATCTCTGAGATTCATTCTGCCTGTCCCTTCGCTCCGCCTGTGTGTCCTCTGCTTGTCTGGTCTCTCTGCTTTCCTTTTCCTCTAGTTTGGGAATGGATCTGTAAGTCCATTCCATGTGATGGTGCTTTGGCCGAGTAGCCTGGTGTCCAGATAGTTAAGAAATGAGTGATCAACAGTAGTAGTTAAAATGGAACAAGCTTAGCTGTTCCTTGTACCTCATGTTAAACATAATGAGTTTAGAGGATTATGACTTTGTAACAATTGGAATCTGCTAGACAGGACACCTGTTTTACTTTTTACTGATTAATTTGGTGTAGAAATAGCATCTTTTTTTGCAGTATGAAAATTATTTTGTGTTCTAGCTTTCACTGGTAGCTTATTTTCTGAAATGTGCTTTTTAGAGTAGCATGTTAGTATAAAATTATCTTAATAGGACTGGATACTCTATTAGCTTGAAAATATTTGTTTTCTAACTGTGATAAAAGTTTCTGGGAGCATTTGAATTTTCATTTATTCTGGACAGCATTAGAATTGTTTAGTATATGCAAATATTTTTCCTTTGGTTTTGTTTCCCAGGTTGCACGTTTTCAAAAAATTCCTAATGCTGAAAATGAGACAATGATTCCGGTATTGACATCAAAAAAAGCAAGTGAATTACCAGTCAGTGAAGTTGCAAGCATTCTCCAAGTAAGTTCTTGGTGGGGAGGAAGGGTGTGTATAGTAGAATGAGCCACTTAGCTAAGTGTTATCCAGTAGAATTTTCTGTTCTGCAGGTGAGTGTGGCTAGTGGTTCCCTGATAGGACGGTGCAGCTCTGGATCCATAGTGTTGTTGGAAACTGTTAGTACTATGTGAGGATTAGTTGGATTAGGAAAATAATCAATTTAATTATTAACATAAGTGGAGTTAGGAGTTTTATCCGTTTTTATGTTTTCTACTGTAAAAGCTAAATATAAGTTCAGAACTGCAAGTAAATTTTGCTTATGTAATTCATTCTCTTCCTAGTTTTAAAAAGCACAATCTAATGGAACATGAGGAAAAGAATATTTTAAATTTTCTCTTCAGAATTCACATATTTTAATGATGGCATTAAAAGAATTGCATACCCCCCCCTTTTTTTTGAGGTTTTTTTTGGGTCGGGTTGTATTTATACTCTGTTTTAAAGCCACTTACTCTAAATATATTTAGGTATCGCAAGACTCTGTTATTGACCTCTATTATAAAGCTTTTGTTCAGAGAAACTACTTCAGAGATGCAAGTAATTTCATTCTTTAATGATAGTTTAAAATAACAAGTCATGAGAGGTAGTGACTGAAGAATGTAGGTGGTGTTTGTAGGACTTAACTTCATTATTTTCAGTAATTTAGGAACCACAGATTTTCTCCTTGGAATAAATGTACAGTCTAAGAACAAAAGGTAATACCAGCCTCAGTTTTGATAGGCTCAGAGAACAAGAAGGATGCATCATCTTTTCGAGAAACTTAACAGTGGGACCCAAGAAAGCTAGTTAAAATATACTTAGAATTTGCTTTCTGTCCATTGTCACTGGTTTGTGTTGTTCCTTTTTCAGCATAAAGATGATAATTTTTTGTTTATTAATCTAGTTGCTTACATTAACACTTTTTTTAAGGTATAATTTATATAGAATACAACAGACTCATTAAATATACAATTTGTATTTTGGCAAATGTAGCCATCATCACAATTAAGATGTAGAAAATTTTCATCACTCTAAAAAGATTCCACGTGGTTTTTTTGTAGCTGATCCTTCCATTGTTCCTGGCCCCAGGCAATCACTGATATGCGTTGTCCCCATAGATTAATTTTGACTGTCACAGAAGTTCCTATGAATAAGACCATACATATGTACTGTTTTGTGTTTTCTGCTTTGTTTTCTGCTAATGTTTTCAGTAACTTTTACATATAAAATCTCATAGGCTGATCTTCAGAATGGTCTAAACAAATGTGAAGTAAGTCATAGGAGAGCCTTCCATGGCTGGAATGAGTTTGATATCAGTGAAGATGAGCCACTGTGGAAGAAGTATATTTCTCAGGTATATTTTTATTTTCTCATGCTGTGTAGTTTACATGTATTTTTGTTTATGCAGTTTTTTACTTTTGTGAAGTTATTTATGGAGAAAGGAAATAATATTAAAAAAATTTTTTTTTACCTAACTTGTTTCATTTGTTAGAGTTTACTGCTAGGTTGGAATTTCTATAATTTTTAGTGTGTAAATCTTTAAGGGCTTATATCACATGGAGGTGATAATATTAATAGTAGTTTCCCTTGCAAGTGTCTTACATATATATTTTATTATAGAAATGCTAGTATTTTTTAAAATAATATGACTAGTTTAGAAAATTAGCAAAAGGTCATTTGAATCCAGACTGCCTGGTTACAAATTCCACCTTTCTTTAATAGCTTGTGTGTCCCTTGTTATCCTCTGAGTCTTAACTAGAAAATGGAGATGATAATCTTAGGAGATAGTAGCTATCAATAGAAAATAGCTATTTTTAATTATTAGGTTGGCGAAAAAGTAATTGTGGTTTGAGACTATGAATATTAAATCATTATAACTAGGCTCAAGCACATCTTTATTAATCAAAATGGGAACTATTGCAATCAACACATTTTTTAAATGAGAAATAAGTTTGTTTATTCTTGTAACATAAAAATCTATGCTTTGGGATTTGACAAACTCTTGGAAAGCATTTTCTCATTCTTGCTGGTTGTGGAAGCATTTGTCCTTCAAAAACTTGTTGAGATGCTTGAAGAAGTGGTGGTCACTTGACGAGTGGTCAGGTGAATATGGTGGATGAGGCAAAATTTTATAGCTGAATTTGTTCAACTTTTGAAGTGTTGATTGTGCACTGTGAGGTTGGGTTTTGTTGCACAGAAAAATTGGGCCCTTTCTTTTGACAGATGGTGGCTTTAGACATTGCAGTTTTTGGTGTGTCTCATGGATTTGCTGAGCATACTTCTCAGATGTAATGGTTTCGCCAGGATTCAGAAAGCTGTATGAATCATAACTTCAGCAGACCAACAAACAGTGACCGTGACCTTTTTTTGGTCTGAGTTTGGCTTTGGGAAGTGCTTTGGAGTTTCTTGTGGCTTCCCTGGTGGTTTCTTCTTGGTCCATCCACTGAGCTGATTGTTGCCAGTTGTCATATAAAATCTGCTTTTTGTTACAGATCACAATCGGATCAAGAAATGGTTTGTTTTCATTGCATAAAGAAGAGAAGACGACACTTCAAAATGATTTTTTTTGATTTGCCGTCAGCTTATGAGGCACCCTCTTACGGAGTTTTTTCACTTTTCCAAGTTGCTTCAAATTCTGAATGACCATAGAATGGTCAGTGTTGAGTTCTTTGGCAATTTCTTGTGTAGGATCCACCTTCAATGATTCTCTCAGTTGGTCGTTGTCAATTCTGATGACCAGTCACTGCGCTCCTCACCTTCAAGGCTCTTGTCTCCTTTGCAAAACTTCGTGATTCACCACTGCACTGTACATTCATTAGCAGTTCTTGGGTCAGATGCATCATTGATGTTGTGAGCTGTCTCCGCTGCTTTACATTTTGAACTCAAGAAAATTGCTTGAATTTGCTTTTTGTCTAACATCATTTCCCTAGTCTAAAATAAACAGCAAGTAATAAGTCATTAGCAAAAAACAAAATGAGAAATGTCTAACATAACCACATTTATTTTAAGCATGTATTCCAATATCAAATGGCAAAGTTAAACAGTGTAAAACTGCAGTTACTTTTGCACCAACCTATTATATTTTATTAATATCTTAATCTTTTCAGAAAGATTTGCTGTAGGATTTTTCTTATCTTGATAGCCAGCATGTTAGTGAAAAGCTACTAAGCTCCTGTGGCCAATTTTTAGCTAGTAGAGTTAGTTTGTCAAACAGATTCTTTTTAGTAAAGAAACTTTGTAATGCCTTCTAATCTTTAGATTCTTTTTTAAAAAAGATGTGTGTTTAACTTTTCTAACGGGCCTTGCCTGTTAATGAACCAAAATTTACCATGTTGTTAAATGAATTTGTCTAAAGTAGAAAAACTGAATTTTTAGGGATGAACTTTGTAGTCCATCTTGTTTTTATGTTTTATATGTATTTTTGTATTCTCAACCTTTACCCTATTTCCACATCATCTAGAACTTCAGGAAGTTTATTCTGGATTTATAAATTACAGTGATTTGACTTATCACTGGATAATACGATTTAATGTTTTACTTTCTTGATCCTGTTTCAAAGCCGGAGTACTTGCATCATGGTATTGCTGTGAGAATGAAATGAAATAGTGCCTGTAGTATAGTTAAGTAATAATTAGCATTAATTAGTAATGCTATTAATTATTGTTAAGCAGTAATTAGCATTAAATATCAGTTGTTAATTGTAAAGCGCTGAGAGACTCTTCACTCCTCTACAGAGAACAGCATCTTTGTTCTACAGACATGTGTCTAGAGCCTGCCGTCTATCAGATAGTGTCCTTAGTACCACGGCACAGCTTTTGTAGGGGCAAATAAAATGATCTTGGACCTTGCTCTCAGAGTGTGATAATAGCAGCTAATGTTGGAGGGTTTTATAGTATACACAGTGCTTTAATATGCATTCTTGGTTAATCCTTACACAGTTTTTAGTACAGGGTAATATCTTAGTAGATGAAGCACCTCTGGGGCTTAAAAAATTAAGGAATTGGATTCAAACACAGGTATTCTGACTCAGTTTGTGTGTGGTTTGTCAACCCTAAACCACATTGCAGTTGTAGTTTTATTTTGTTAGAGCAGTGATTTTCAATTGTCTGTGCTTTAGAGTCACTTGGGGGGATGTTTTAAAAATGCTAAAGCCTGGGTCCTGTGCCCAGAGATTCTGGTTTGATTGCTCTGGTGTGAATGTGGACATTTGTTGGAAGTCCTTCACTAGATTCTGATGTGAAGCAGAGTTGTAGACACTGTGCCAGGGAATAGAACCATAAAGGAAGTGGGAGGTGGTGGCATCTGATTTCAGAGTTAATGATATCCAGAGGCTGAGGCTCTCCGCTGTGATGGATTGTTTGCAAAGTGACCTTGCAGCTTTGACAGCTATTGGCAGCGTTTCATCTGAGGAAGGCACTCCAGCAACGGAGCTCTGACATTTAACTGGGATGTCCAACAGGAAAGATTTGGGGTTGTTCTGATGCTTGTTTGTTTTAAGAGCTTCCTGATTGAGTTGGTGCTGTGGTTTTTATTTCTTTAGATACTGTTGTCTCTGCTAGCTAGATGTCAGAGAAACCAGTGTTGGGAAAATCTTCAGCTTCTTCTGTGGCGATGATCTTACTGTATGCTCTTAGCTGCACTGGTGGGTGGGATCTGGTTGTTCCTATGGTGGGTGGGTCAACCACAGAATTGTAATCTATGCCCATTTACTTAAAATACAGGAATGATGAGAATGTTTGAAATTTATAAGTTAGGTATTCTAACCAGTGCTTAATATAAATCTTTAGTTTAAAAGTTATTTTCCATTTATTCTAGCCCCAGTAGAAATTCAGAACAGCTTATTGTTTAAATTAATAAGTACTAAAAATACATATGTACTCTAAGAATTGGTCAATTCTTAGTTTTACATAATAATGCCCTGATAGTTGTTTTCTTTTTTTAAGGCTTTTGTTGTGATGGTATACAACTATCATTCATGCAAAGCTGTTGAATTGCTGTTTGTTTTCACTTTCAGTTTAAAAATCCCCTTATTATGCTGCTTCTGGCTTCTGCAGTCATCAGTGTTTTAATGCATCAGTTTGATGATGCTGTCAGTATCACTGTGGTAAGAAAAATATATGTATTTTTAAATTGTTAGTTAATTGTATAAATTAGGATTGGCTTTTATTTTAGAAATGAAAGTCCTTGGGTCTGGAAGATCTCCTAGAGAAGGAAATGGCAACCCACTCCAGTATTCTTGCCTGGAAAATCCCATGGACAGAGAAGCCTGGTAGGCTACAGTCCATGGGGTTGCAGAGTTGGACACTACTGAGCGACTTCAGTTCACTTACTGCTTTCTTCAGGTTTTTTTTTTTTTAGATTCTGGTTTTAGTTACAGTGATCTCAAGTAATGTTCACGGGTCTGTGATTGGCAACATTGGGAATTTTTTAATAACCTGATAATTTCACAGATGTGAAACATTTTATAATTTCCAATTAAATATTTAATTTCTTTTACTTTCCAATTGAGAATGTGTTTGACTAGTTGTGAACTGAAGCCTAACATTTTTGAAATTAAAAATATTTAACTGCATTGTATATTTACTATGTAAAATTTTATTTTCTCCAGCCAGGTTATTCTAGGTTTCATCTTTTTTTTTTTTCTTGCCTCTCTGTTTCATTGTAGCAAAAAAATCTATAGTAAGTCTAAGCACTGATTAAAGCAAGTGTGTTATGCTTAACTGCACAGGAGAAGTGAACACAGAGCTTTGAAGTCTCCAGCTATTGCTTGTGGACTCCTGGGAGTCTATGTGATTCTTTTAGGGAGCATGTGAGGCCAAAATTACTTTCATAAAGCTAAAACGTTATTTGTCTTTTTGCTATAGACATTTGCGTTAATGGAGCAAAAGTGATGTGGGTAAAACCATTAGTGCTTTGGTCTGAATCAAGATAGTGGCATCTGTCTAGTAAACTGTCTAGTACTTAACTGTTTTCTTTTGCTGTTTCTCTTAGCAATGTTTTTGATAAAACAGTAAAAATTAATTTTACTAAATCTTGATCCTTAAGTATATACCTTTTTACTGTTCTGTGTGATGAAATAGAAGTACTCATTGAGGTATGGTGATTGTCCCAAGGAAAGGTTGTGTGCTGAAGTGAACTAGCCTTTTACTCCAAAGAATGACTGTTATACAAACTATGGTTATTAAGACTTGAATAATTGGCATACTTTTTTTGAAAGTGAGTGAAATAACCTTGCACTATAAGAGAGACAACTGACAAAATTTGTTTCCAATGGTAAGATTTAAGCTTTCAGTAGTAACTGCTGCTGCTGTTAAGTCACGTCAGTCGTGTCCAGCTCTGTGTGACCCCACAGATGGCAGCCCACCAGGCTCCCATTCCTGGGATTTTCCAGGCAAGAACACTAGAGTGGGTGGTTGCCAATTCCTTCTCCAGTGCACGGAAGTGAAAAGTGAAAGTGAAGTCGCTCAGTCATGTCTGATTCTTAGTGACCCCATGGACTGTAGCCCACCAGGCTCCTCCATCCATGGGATTCTCCAGGCAAGTATACTGGAGTGGGTTGCCATTTCCTTCTCCAGGGGACCTTCGCGACCCAGGGATCGAACCCAGGTCTCCCGCATTGCAGGCAGACACTTTAACCTCTGAGCTACCAGGGAAGCTGGATAGCTCCCCTGTTTTAAGACGTTATTCTGTTGAGGTCAGTAGTGATTTCAGTGAATGTGATTTTTTTTACCAATTATAAAATGTGTCAACACTTGGAAGATTTGAATAACCCAGTGAATCAACCTTTTCTAAATGACCTGTGCATGATGATACAAAATATTCATTCACAATAGTAAGGAGATTGATTTTAATATAACAGACTATGAAAAGTTCACGAATCTAGTTTTATATTCTACATTGCAGATTGCTTTTAATGTTACTAGCAGTTGTCTAATTTTGGTGTGGTAGCTAAGAATAAAAACCACAATTATTTGAAAAGGCTTTTAAAATAAACTCCTCCCTTGTTCAACAGTATCTGTATGAGGTTGAATTTTTTTCATATACTTCAGCCAAATTAACATATGTCAGTAAATTGAATGCAGAAGCAGATAGGAGAATGGAAAAACCCAAATGAATTTTTTGGCCAACGCAGTATTAAAACGGACACCAAAGATAGAAAAATTGAAAACACTGCCACTTTTCTCACAATTTTGGGGAGGGATATATTTTTCATAGGGCTTCCCTGGTGGCTCAGTGGTAAGGAATCCACCTGCCAACTCAGGAGACATGAGTTTGATCCCTGAGTCTGGAAGGTCCTCTGGAGAAGGAAATGGTAACCCATTCTAGTATTCTTGCTGGGAAGTTCCATGGATAGAGGAGCCTGGTTGGCTACAGTCTATGGGGTTGCAAAAGAGTTTTTCATAAAAAATATTGTATGTGTTGGGCTTACGTTTTTTAGATGAAAGTAGAAGTTAAAACCCAGTATTTAAAGACATATTTAATATGGTAAATATCAGTAGCTTATTAGTCACATAAACAAAAGCTGGTCCTCCGTTTGTAAAGGGGTCCTGAGATCAAAGAGTTTAAGAAACCATCCTGGAGGGGCAGACTCCTGTCAGCTGTGGGTTGCTCCACTCCTAGGCCTCGAGGTGGAATTGTGATCCTTCCCTGGCTGTCCTGTGCTCAGTGTCTGGTGTCTTGGGGCTGCAGATAGAGTCAGAAGAATAAAATATGATTTAATAATTATTTCAGAAGTTGCAGTGTCTGAAAAAGTTGTTTCTTTGTTTTGTTTAGGCAATACTTATCGTTGTTACAGTCGCCTTTGTTCAGGTGAGTAAGTCTATTTTGATAACATTATAAAATGATATTTTAGTTAATTGCTTCAAAAAATCAAGTTGGTTTATGTTAAAATGTGTAATTATTGGGGGATGTGTATGTTGGTCAGAATAATTTGCTCTTTGTTTTTGAAATAATTTCAGAAACAATAACTCTTCAAGGAAGTCTGTGGAACCAACATGACTGCTTTGATTTAGGCAGTGGCATGAAGAAAATCTAGTTTTCTATTTGATGGTGTTTCTATTTAAAGTTAACTGAAGCAGATGGAAACAAAAAGTACAGAAATAGAAATAAAATCCAGCAATAGACTTATAACTTTTTTCCAGTTAAAAAATTGGGTCAGGGTTCAGACTCCTCGTTCATCCAAGGAAGGGATGTTCTGATCTGGATCGAACTCCCCCGTTCAACATAGGCACTGAGACAGTAAAGAAAATATATGAAAAGGAACCCTGTTTAAAAAAATTAATGTGAATAATGTACAGATAATGTCTGGATTTCTATTGACTAGTGTAGACATAAATAAAAACATGGGCTTAGTTTTATGTTTCTTTAAATATCTGATAATTTCTGTAGGTTTTAGAACAATGTTGGCAGGTGTCATTTGATGGTTAAAAATTTGAAGCATCGTTAATAAGACTAGAAGAATTACTCTAGTTTAAGAAAAACTGTAATATGTCATTTGAAGTTCATGTTTATAATCGAAAGAGCATATTTTAAGTGACTGTGGTTATTTTCACATCTGTGATATATTCCTTGGATATTTCCTGTCATCATCCAGGTGTCCTGTGATCATCTCTAATTTAGTAATTTGTTTTATAGCCACCCAGGGTAGAAAAGCCGGTTGGAATCAGATTATCTGCAACAACTTTGTGAGTTGCATTAGTACACCATCAGGGATCCTGTATCTAGGAAATGTTCTTTTATGTTTTAACATAAAAATTACCTTAAGGCAGATTGAGGGCTAGTTTAGCAGAGGTCATTCCAGGCTGGATCTCATTCGTGGTCATTTGCATGGTATGACCGACCCATTGGACCAGTAACTGGAACGCTTTTGCATTACTAGTAGTGCTACAGATGTGTGGAGTGGCTTGTTTCCTAAGAATTCTTACAGAATTATCATTTTGTATGGAAGACCTTATGGGCTTACCTGGTGACTCACTGGTAGAGAATATGTCTGGCAATGCAGGAGATTCGGGGTTTGATCTCCGGGTCAGGAAGATCCCCTGGAGAAGGAAATGACAACCCACTCCAGTAGTCTTGCCTGAGAAATCCCATGGAGGAGCCTGGTGGGCTACAGTCCATGGGATTGCAGAAGAGTTGGACATGACTTAGTGACTAAACAACAACAACATCGAAGACCTTAGTAGCTTGGTAAATAACTCCTACCCTCAAAAAAAATTCCACAAAATGACGATTTTAAAATTATATGGGCTTTTACAAAAGAATGGTGTTACACACCTTAAACCTTAATGGCTGAACCAACTGCTAAATATCTTTATGATAGGTCCATTTGAAGGAAAACTCAGGAACAAATTGAAACATTTATGAAAAGCCCAGTTTCAGATTGGTAGTTCTGATTTTTTTATACAGATGTGAGCCTTTTCCTCAAATGTGCTAATGACACAACAAAATATTCTACAAATGACAATTAAAAAATCCTCTGTACAAGGGTCTTATTTACTCTGTTGAACTTACATTAATGCTTTGTCAGAAAACTATCAGAAATCTTTCAGAAAGTCTTCATTTTTTAGTATTATTTATATTTGTGTTTTTACCTATATTTTAGAAGAGTGCTTTTTATAGTCTTTTTATGTTTATATCTGACCCCACTATCCTTTCTAATCTCCATTTCCCATCCCTGTTATACCTCCTTGCAGCCATAAAAATAGTTAATTGTTCTGTATGGTTACATATTGATGTTGCCTTTACAATAAATTTAAAATTTAACTTTTAGGTGTTCATTTGAGATGGCTGTCAAGTTTTTGGTGGTATGTTGAAGGATCATTTTGATATAGAGGTATCTTTGTAGTTGTAGGGAGTAAAAGCTAAGAAGTTTAAAGAGGGAGGTAAAGATTGGGCAGCTTTTATGTCTTACATGACTAGGATCTAGGGCTGGTGAGTATTTTCTAGCCTTTTATGGACTTTTTGGAAAACTTCTAAACTTAATATCCTTGGTATAGTTAGGGGAGGGGTGTGTGTAATTTTTTTTTTAATTGAAGTATAATTAACATACCATATTGTTAGTTTCAGGTGCCCTACATAGTGATTTGATATTTGTATGCTTTATGAAGTGATCACCATGATAAGTCTAGTAACCATCTGTCCCCATACAAAATTATTGTAATGTTCCTTATGCTGTATATTGCACTGGGTGTCTTGTGATTTTTATATTTACAGATTTACCTTACTGTCACATTTGTTCCTCTTGCCTTAGTAGTAAAGACAGATTTATTTCTAAGTTATTCTTATATAGCTTTGCATTTTCTACTTGAAAATGTTTGTGATGGATGTGCAGTTTTGATTAGTGCTAGCATTGCAGTCATTTCAGAACTCCCCCCACCCCAACTTTCACTTCCATTACTCTCCCTACTCCTCTTCCCTTTTTAACCTTAGATCAGAAGGTTGGTGTACTTAGTACAGAATGAGACAGAAATGTTGCATGAAGTGAAACAGTCCATGGAAGTTGGACTAAATAGTGTGGTGAAGGATGTCTCTGACTCTAGCTGTGATTAGATGGATGAAGACTGAACCTCACAGAGTTAGGGCTCCTGAGAATTTCCCCTTTGGGTGATTCAGAGTCATGGGGAACATGTTTCTTGGAGTAGGGCAGCCATGTCTCACTCCTTGTTCAATTCATGTTTCTCCCACACAGACTTATTTCACAAACCTTTACAGTTGCCATGGGCGTGAATCTTCAGTGCCAGTGTTATTTGCATTTAATTGTCTGACTTCCTTGGTCATTAAACACTGGAAGTAAAATTGTCTTAATTATGAGGCTCAGTAATCTTAACTTTTAATGACTGAAAATTATATACTCTTTGGTTACACTAATATTAGTTTTCTTCACTTTCTTATCAGTAACTTAACCTTAGGTTTATACACCAAATATTGAAATATAGAATTGAGAATATTTAATTATAAAAGATTGTTTGGTCACTATAATTTAACATTATTTAATAAAGGACAAGCTTTTTTGCATGGGAGTATAACTAAAGAAAAAGATAAAAATTTGGTGAAATGTTAATGGTTTAGGTAAATGTTTAAGTCTAACATAGCATGTGTTCTTAAGAGTGTGCTTATTGCATTTCTTTATAAATATTTTTTCCTAATATTCTTTTTTTTTTTAAATAGGAATATCGTTCAGAAAAATCTCTTGAAGAACTAAATAAACTTATGCCACCAGAATGCCATTGGTATGATCCTTGTTTCTGATAACAGATTTCTACTCTTAAAAGTAGAAATTAAATGTGACTAGTACAGTATATCTTGTGGCCCAAGATTTGTCTGAACATAAAGTAGAAACCATTAATCTGACGTGAAAAATTCATGCTCTATTCATTATAGCAAGTTGTACTATTAAAACTTTTGTTACTTCTAATTTTATTGAGATTATTGAGACATGGATTTATTCAGCAGATACCTTTTGTATGTGACTGTGTGATAATGCAATATATTTTTCCCAGGCAAGCCCCCTGGAAGGAATTTCTTAAAGTAAGTGATCTTGCTTGCTTTCTTCAGGTGTGGCTCTTTGTTTTATGTTGCAGTGTGCGTGAAGGAAAATTGGAGCATACACTTGCACGAGACTTAGTTCCAGGTGATACAGTTTGCCTTTCAGTTGGTGACAGGGTTCCTGCTGACTTGCGCTTGTTTGAGGTGAGTTTGATGTCTTAATCTGTTTGAGTAGCTCTAACTACCACAGAGATAAATTTACTTCTTACAGTTCTGGCAGCTGGAAGTCCAAGATCAAGGGGACCAGCATGGTTGCATCCTGGTGAGGACCCTCTTTCTTGTTCATTGCTGGTGCCTTCTTGCTCTGTCCTCATATGGTGGAAGGGGCTAAAAAATATATCCAGACAAACCTATAATTCAAAAAGATACATGCACCCCTGTGTTCATAGCATCACTGTTCACAATAGTCAAGACATGGAATCAACCTAAATGTCCATTGATAGGAATGGATAAAGAAAATACTTGTTTACAATGAAGGTACATATATACAATAAAATACTACTCAGCCATGAAAAAGAATGAAATAATGCCGTTTGCAGCAAAAAGAAAGACAGATAACCCCATGTGATACTGCTTATATGTGGAATCTAAAATATGACACAAATGAACCTATCTTTGAAATAAACAGACTCAAACATAGAAAACAGACTTGTATTTGTCAAGGGGATGGGGATTAGGGAAGGGATGGAACAGGAGGTTGGGGGTAGCAGATGTAAACTATGATGTATAGAATGGCTAAACAACAAGGTCCTACTGTATAGCACAGGGAACTATATTCAGTATCCTGTGATAGATCATAATGGAAAAGAATATGAAGAACAACAGAATGTATAACTGAATCACTGTTGTATAGCAGAAATGAAAACAACATTAAAATCAGCTGTGTTGTTGTTCACTCACTAAGTCGTGTCTGACTTTTTGTGACGCCATGGACTGCAGCATCCCAGGCTTCCCTGTCCTACAGTGTCTCCTAGAGTTTGCTTAGACTCATGTCCATTGAGTTGTTGATGCCATCCAACCATCTCATCCTCTGTTTCCTCCTTCACCTCTTGCCCCAGTCATTCCCAGCATCAGTCTTTTTCAAAAGTATTGGAGCTTCAGCTTCAGCATCAGTCCTTCTAATGAATATTCAAGGTTGATTTCCTTTAGGATTGACTGGTTTGATCTTAACTGTTCTTTGAAATCAACTATACTATAATTTGAAATCAACTATACTTAAATTTTAATTTTTAAATAGTAGTTGAAGAGAGGCACCCTGGCCAGTTAATTGGTGGCTGCCAAAGGATTGGGCTTCCATGGTTGCTCAGATGGTAACGAAACTGCCTGTAACGCAGGAGATTTGGGTTTGATCCCTCAGTAGAGAATATCCCCTGGAGAAGGGAATGGCTACCTACTCCAGTATTCTTACCTGGAGAATTCCATGGATAGAGGAGCCTGACAGTCTATAGTTCATAGGGTCACAAAGAGTCAAGACACAACTGAACAACTAACACTTTCGAGGGAGTGGTCAGACTGTGACTTTAGATAAAGCAATCTTATAGACTGCATGTACTTGTATGGTAGTACATTTTGCCTTTTTGGAAGCATAAAATATTTTCCATAATCTTCTAGGTAAAGTCTGTATCAGTATTTGAATAAGGAATTCTTTGTAAGAGAAAATAATGTAAGAGAGGAAAAGCAGATTTCTTTTAACTGTTGAAAATATTTTACCTCTTAGCTGAAAATTTCTAGCTAAACTTAAAACGTTGACTGAAATATACCAAGACTTTTCTTTACTTGGAGTTCTGAAAGGTTAATTCTGTTGACACTTTCTTTTGTGACTCATGTGCCACATATCATTCTTTGAAACTGTCTTCACAATCTACGCATGGGGTACAGTTGCTACATCTTTTTTTCCCAAACTGAATTTTTGATAGGATGTTTTTCTAAATGTGTCAGACTTCTATTAGACAACTACCACTTTTGTGGCTTAGATCCAGGAAGCCATTTTCGTGACACTAGATCAGACCTTTCAAATCTGCACAGAAAGGCTATTTCCACTAGGAGTCAAGGGTGACTTGGACCAGGCTTGGAAGTCTAAATGTAGAACCAGCCAGTTGGCATTGCGTAGAGACCCTTTTTAAATCCACGCACTTTGTTATAGGACAATAGCTTGGCTCACTGAGTAGATTCTGGTGTCTTTAGGGTTGTTCCTTAGTACCCAGGGCGAGTAAAATCCAAAGACAGTGAGTGTGATTGAATAAGCACAGACCTCCCTTGGCTACTTCAGTCAGAAGTAGTCTCTGACTGAAACCTCAGTTACACATTATGTCTCTTTCTGTAAGGCTCATGTTCTTGCCCGCTCTTTTGTTAATAACCACTAGCAAGCAGCTTTCTCTTTGTTGGGTAACTCCATTAGTGGAGCTATCTTTCTGTTTCAGAGTGTTCTGACTTCCCGAGTTACTAAGTAAATTCCCCATTTACTTAGTGGATAACTTGATATTCTGACAAAACAGATTCTGCTTTGGTTTGCTCTTCTTTTTCAAAGAGAATTTTTCCTAACATTTGCTAGCATATTTAGGCAAAATGTTGTCCCTCTCTTCAGAAATCAGTCTGTGTTATGAAGTCATTTTTTAGCCATTCAACAAATAGTTGAGTACTGTGTATAGACTGCTATACCAGGTTTCAAAGCCAGGAAATGCAAAAGACAGTTTTGTGCCCTTTCTACTGGGAGACACCAACTTGCACGCAAAGTAATTAAAAGAATAAAATGTGTCTTCTTATGTAATGAATTAACTGTGTGAGCTTTCGGGGCTGTTTACTTTCTGTAACATAGAGTGGCCCTAGGGCAGTGCATCCTAACTTTTAATATGCAAGTACTCAATCTGGGTTCTGTTTTGGCAGATCTGAGGTGGGACATTCATAACTAGCTCTTCTGTTCTGTTCAGTCGCTCAGTCGTGTCTGACTCTTTGCGACCCCATGAATCGCAGCACGCCAGGCCTCCCTGTCCATCACCAGCTCCCGGAGTTTACTCAGACTCATGTCCATCGAGTCGGTGATGCCATCCAGCCATCTCATCCTCTGTCGTCCCCTTCTCCTCCTGCCCCCAATCCCTCCCAGCATCAGGGTCTTTTCCAATGAGTCAACTCTTCACATGAGGTGGCCAAAGTATTGGAGTTTCAGATTCAACATCAGTCCTTCCAATGAACACCCAGGACTGATCTCCTCTAGGAGGAATTGGTTGGATCTCCTTGCATTCCAAGGGACTTTAAAGAGTCTTCTCCAACACCACAGTTCAAAAGCATCAATTTTTCAGCGCTCAACTTTCTTCACAATCCAACTCTCACATCCATACATGACCACTGGAAAAACCATAGTCTTGACTAGACGGACCTTTGTTGGCAAAGTAATGTCTCTGCTTTTTAATATGCTATCTAGGTTGGTCATAACTCTCCTTCCAAGAAGTAAGCGTCTTTTAATTTCATGGCTGCAATCACCATCTGCAGTGATTTTGGAGCCCCAAAAAACAAAGTCTGACACTGTTTCCACTGTTTCTGTGCCAAAAGTACTGGTACATCCACCACATGTAAAAATATATTTTTTTAAAAGACAGCTTTATTGAGATATATAGTTCACATACCAAACAATTAACACATTTGAAATGTACAATTCAGTAATTTTCAGAGTTGTACAGACATTACCATAAAGTGTATAATATTCTCATCACTTCCAAAAGAAAACTGTTACCTTTTAGCCTTCACCAACTTTGTCTCCTTGCCCCAGAGCCTTGTAGCTATCAATCTGCTTGTTCTGTTTGAATAAATGTGCCTATTATGGACATTTCATATAAATGGAATTATACACTATGTAGTCTTTTGTGTCTTGCCTCTTTCAATTAACATAATGTTTTCATGGTTCATTATGTTGCAGCATGTATCAGTATATCACTGCTTTTTATTGTCAAATAATAGTATTCTATTGTATGACTGTATTACACTATTATAAATCTATTTACATTTAAAGAATTACTGGTAGAGAAAGACTTTTTTGTGCCATTTTGCTATATGTGTTTTATTTTCTATGTTTCTGATTTCATCCAGTCTCCCCTTTTTAAAATGCTTGATTCACTTAAACAATTTTATTTATTTAGCTGCATCGGGTCTTAGCTGTGTTACAGCATGGGGCTTCTCTCTAGTTGTGACATGTCAGCTCCAGAGCATGTGGGCTCAGGAGTTGCTGTGGGCCACTTACTAGTTGCAGTGTGTGGACTTAGTTGCCCTGTGGCATGTGGGATCTTAGTTCCCTTACCAGAGATTGAACCCCTGCCCCATGCATAGGATGGCAGATTCTTTACCACTGGACCACCAGGAAAGTCCCTGATTCACTGATTCATTTCATTCATTCATTTATTTTACTTAAACACATAGGATTCTTTATTGTAAATTTCAAATAGCAAATTAGTTTTCATTGATTTTTGGGGGTCTTAAAATTTGTATATAATGTTTTTTAAGTTTCAGCTGTGTATCATTATAATTTGATATCTGTATATACTACAAAATGATCACCACAAAATGTCTATAGTTACCATCCATTACCATACAGTTGACCCCTTCATCCCTTTTGCCCACTCTCAAACCTCCTTTCCTTCTGGTGACCACCAGTCTGTTCTCTATAAGTTTGTATTTATGTATTTATTTTGTGTGTGTGTGTTAGATTTTGTATATGAATGAAATCATATGCTATTTGTCTATCTCTGTCTTATTTCACTTAACATAATACTCAGAGATGATATGCACTGTTGCAAATGACAAATTTTGTTTATTTTTATGGCTGAGTAGTATTCCATTGTGTGTGTATATGTATGTGTGTGATCATCTTTATCCACTTATCTATCAGTGGATGCTTAATTTTGTTTCCATATCTTGGCTATTGTAAATAGTGATGTAAGGAACACACATGGGTCCATATATCTTTTCAAATTAATATCTTCTGTATTCTTTGGATAAATACCAAATATGGAATAGTTGAGTTATGTGGTAATTCTGTACTGAATTTTTGAGAAATCTTCATACTCTTTTCCATAGTGCCTGCACCAATTTACGTTCCCACCAACAGTGTATGAGGTTTCCTTTTTCTTCCAAATCCTTGTCAAGGCTTGTTATTT